AAGGGATTCTAAGACACATAAAGAATGCTGTCCCAGGGAGAACTAGTTGGGAACGGCACCTGACTGCCCTCTCTCTTGTAGACTCAGAGGGTTTAGAGGTAACAAATGCTAAAACGCGCAATGTGCTTGTGGTGCCATTATTTCTTAATGGAAATCCAAGCGCAGATAGCAGTTGTGTGTTTTGCTCCACGTTTTTAACACCCATAGTAAAACGCACTTGGCTTAGTGCCAAAATTTGGTACATGGGCTTCTTTAGCACATTTTTGGAGCAGAGAGAGGCCCATTCAAATGAATAGTGCTGCTCCAAAAAACACACTATAAAATTGTGCAAAAAAAGCTCTAAATAAACAGTGCAGGAGCATTGCTCCTGGGGACCAATGGGGCCTTAACCTCCCTGACGGTATTCCCGAGTGTAGCTCGGGGTGAAGTTTCAGTACCACAAGCGGTAACCCCGAGCTACACTCGGGAATACACTGCAGCGTTGCTCCAGGATCTGTTCTTCACTTACCTTGTCCTGCGCTCCCGCGATGTCCCTCCTGCAGTGTCCCCGGCAATGTAATCCGGTGGATGCCGGCATCTGTCATCTGGGTTCCATTCCCTGCGACGTCGGGATGTACGGGGACGGAACGGCAGGAAATTTGAAAATGACTAAAAGTGACATTTACTAAAATCACTAAAATCACATAGTAAAACATTACTGTATCAAACCATTTCACATACATTTTGTCTCGAGTGCTTTGTCCTGTCCTGTGCCCTGCCTGCATTTTTACTGTTCTTTCTGCCTGGAAACTGAGAAAAGTCCATGGCGTCCAAAAAGCATTCCTTTAGGTCAAAATCAGTTTTAGACCAGCTAGAGAACTGGGATAGTAAATTAGAACCACTTGCAGAATTGAGTGATAATGATTCGTGGGGAAATTCGTCATCAGACACCGAAAACGATATTGCGACTTTGCTCAGTGATGTGCGAACTTGGCGCTATATTTCAAATTTCAGTGTTTTTTTGGTTTGATTATATTATTGAATTACATTTATTATTATTATATTATTACTTATTATGATTATTTATTAAATTATAATTTATGATTTCGTGTTTCAGGTCTTATCCTACCCGGGATGTTTACTAGACTCTTGTTTGGACAGATTTCAGTGAGTTATTCCTAAAAATTACAGGCCTACAATTAAAAAAAAACATATTTCCATGCAAAAAAATGTACCACTTTGAGCACAGAAATATGGACATAATCAGACCGCTAGGGAGGTTAAAGTGTTACTAAACCCACAGCAGTAAAATCAGTCTGTATATGCAGTAAAGCATGCTTGTTATACTCACTGTGGAACCTAAGGGGTTAATCCTCCGCATTGTGTATAAAGGCTGTTTGATCCTATCTTCTCTGATCCTTCCCTTCTTCTACTGTCCCCAATCCATCTGCTGATAGTACAGAGCCCTAGGAGGCACTCTGCACATGCTCAGTTTGGTGTGTATGGCTGGAGAGTTTTTTTTCTTTGGAAGGGTGCATGTGATCAGCACAGGGCCAATCAGCACTGTCCAGACAGAGGGTCAGGCATCATGCAGCCTCATAGAACAGTCAGAGGAGAATTAAAACTCCTCCTACAAGCTTCAACCAGTGCATGGAGGGACACTGATAAAAGTCACAAGACCAAAGGTATTTAGCAGTTTATATTTACTAAAATAATTGCATTTCCATGTTGTGTGTACTGTGGGAGAGCGGATATGGTGAATGCAGGGTCTGGGGTTTAGTAACACTTTAATATTATTATTATTGCTACTATAAGTATGACTTGTCCCCTTATAGCGTACTGACTATGCTGATAGCTCTCCTGCTGCCCTAGTATACTGACTAAGCTAACAGCTTTATTGCTGCCTGTTCATGATTTATGCATACTTTATGTCAGGATCAATGACACATATTGTCACAGTTGACACTTCAATCTGCTAAAAAAAAAAAGTTAGCTAGGGAACCACAAGTTTTGCAATGGGGCCCCATAATTTATAGTTATGCCCCTGTATGGGGGTTAAAAGGAAAAAGGCCATGGTCATAAAGAACTCTGTTGATCATAGCAGCATAAAAAAATATAATTGATCCATTAGAGAGACAATATACATAGTACATGTAAATTAAATGACTCCCCAGCCAAGACCAGCTTTATCAGTACAGTGTATCAGTGAGCAATGGAGTGTATGCACAGGCAGTGACACAGTGACATCTACAGGTAACTGGCCTGGTCTGCACCTTCAGTATGTAGAGTACTGTGTGCAAAGGCAGGAAAAGAGTGGGTTATTTTCTTTTTTTTTTGGGGGGGGGGGGGGGTTCGTACTTAGGAACGCTTAAGACCCTTTTACACTTACATGTCATGCAGAATTGTATGTTTTCGATGCATATTATATATGCATTTGTATTCATTTGTGATTGTGCTAAATATGAAGTAATGTGCATTTTTGTGCAATCGCTTTTTATATTAATGTGCAACGCAGGTATCCAGGACTCCCAGAGTTTTTAGATACAGATAATTCCACCTGAGGGTGAAGCTCTGGAAAAGGATTGCGGCTGCAGGCAATTGTAAGTCTAATTAATAAATTATCATATTAATAAATTATAACATATTCATAAAGTAATTAAATTGATATATAGTTCATTAATTACCAATGATTATATTATACTACATTACATTATAATGAATACTTTACTATTAATAATTATACTATGATATACTGTATTATACAATATATTATATTTACAGAATTTCAATTATTTACATTATACATTACATATGATCAATTATTAAACGTTAAATTAATTAATGTAACATTATTAATTAATTTGTATTCTTAAATTAAGTAAGCGTAACAGTAAGTATAGTAAACATATTTTTGCATGTGATGTATATATCTATATCTATCTATCTATCTATCTATCTATCTATCTATCTATCTATCTATCTATCTGTCTATCTATCTATATACACACACACTATATTTCCAAAAGTATTGGTCGGCCTGCCTTTACACACACATGAAATTTAATGGCCCCTCAGTCTTAGTCCATAGGGTTTCAAGATTGAGTTGGCCCCGCCCTTTGCAGCTATAACAGCTTCAACTCTTCTGGGAAGGCGGTCCACAAGGTTTAGGAGGGTGTCTATGGGAATGTTTGATCATTCTTCCAGAATGCACATTTGTGAGGTCAGGCACTGATATCAGACGAGAAGGCCTGGATCACAGTCTCCGATCTAATTCATCCCAAAGGTGTTCTATCGGGTTGAGGTCAGGACTCTGTGCAGGTCAGTCAAGTTTCTCCACCCCAAACTCGCTCATCCATGTCTTTATGGACCTTGCTTTGTGCACTGGTGTGCAGTCATGTTGGAACAGAAAGGGGACCATCCCCAAACTGTTCCCACAAAGTTGGGAGTATGAAATTGTCCAAAATGTCTTGTTATGCTGATGCCTTAAGAGTTCCTTCACTGGAACTGAGGGGCCAGCCCAGGCCCAACCTCTGAAAAAACAACCCCACACCATAATCACCCCTCCTCCAAACTTTACACTTGGTACAAACCCAGAGTCCACGTCCATCATATTGCCAAGACAAAGAAGCATGATCATCACTCCAGAAACACATCTCCACTGCTTTAAAGTCCAGTGCAGCATGCTTTACACCACTGCATCCAGATGCTTTGCAATGCACTTGGTGATGTAAGGCTTGGATGCAGCTGCTCGGCCATGAAAACCCATTCCATGAAGCTCTCTTACGCACTGCTGTTGTGCTAATCTGAAGGTCACATGAAATTTGGAGTTATTTAGCTATTGACTCTGCAGACAGTTGGCAACTTCTGCGCACTGTGCGCTTCAGCATTGGCTGACCCCTCGCTGTCATGGTCATGGTAACACTTGGTGGCTGAGTTGCTGTTGTTGCCAGTTGCTTCCACTTTGTTATAATCCCCACTAACAGCTGACCGTGGAATATTTAGTAACAAGGAAATGTCACGGATGGACTTATTGCATGGGTGGTGACCTATCATGGGACCATGCTTCAATTCACTGAGCTCCTGAGAGCAACCCATTCCTTCACAAATGTTTGTAGAAGCAGTCTGCATGCCTAGGGGCTTGATTTTATACACCTGTGACCATGGAGGTGATTGGAACACCTGAATGCCCATACAACAAAGAGAAAAATCATCATTCCTGGAAAAGAGTATATTGTAAATTTTTACTTTTTTAAATTTATTTTTACTTCTGAAATATTTCCTTTTATATACTGTATTTACAACTTACATATTTACTTATGTAGGCTCTGTTTCCTGTTTAGTCATGATGGACTATAGCTATGACTTGCTAATTCTCTTATCTCCCTGTAAATGTATTAATTTGGGTATAATGACTGAAAATATTAGACTATCTGTAGTTTCGATGATAAGAAACCAAAAACCATGTGATCTTTGCCTAGGCTTTAGGTCACATGAAGGAATGGTGGCAGGTTACTCATTCATGCCTAAGAACTAAAAACTAAGGTTAGGGTTAGGCAGTAAATTAAAGGGTTAAGATTAGTGATTGGGGTTTAAAGTGTTACTAAACCCACAACAGTAAAATCATTCTGTATATGCAGTAAGGCATGCTTGTAAAAAATTTTGTTTGATCCTGACTTCTCTGATCCTCCCCTTCTTCCAGTGCCCCCCTCTTATCTCTTGATAAGTCATATTGGGTGGAGACACTCCGCACATGTTCAGTTTAGTGTGTATTGCTAGAGAAGTTTTTTTTTTTTCTTGGGAGAGTTCATGTGATCAGCACAGGGCCAATCAGCACTGTCCAGACAGAGGTCAGAGGTTTTCGCATCCTCCAAGAGCAGAAGGAAAACTCTTCCTACAAGCTTTAACATGTTCTGGCTGGACACTGATAGAAGTCACAAGACTGCTCTATACTATTGATGAGAAAAGGTATTTAGCAGTTTATATTTACTAAGATAATTGCATTTCCATGTTGTGTGTACTGTGGGAGACCAGATATAGGGAATGCAGGGTCCGGGGAGACCAGATATAGTGAATGCAGGGTCCAGGGAGACCAGACCAGATATAGTGAATGCAGGGTCCGGGGAGACCAGATATAGTGAATGCTGGGTCCGGGGGAGAGCGGATATAGTGAATGCAGGGTCCGGGAGAGACCAGATATAGTGAATGCAGGGTCCGGGGAGACCAGATATAGTGAATGCGGGGTCCGGGGAGAGCGGATATAGTGAATGCAGGGTCCAGGGAGACCAGATATAGTGAATGCAGGGTCCGGGGAGACCAGATATAGTGAATGCAGGGTCCGGGGAGAGCAGATTTAGTGAATGTAGGGTCCGGGGAGACTAGATATAGTGAATGCAGGGTCTGGGGGGAGACCAGATATAGTGAATGCAGGGTCTGGTGAGACCAGATATAGTGAATGCAGGGTCCAGGGAGACCAGATATAGTGAATGCAGGGTCCCGGGGAGATCGGATATAGTGAATGCGGGGTCCAGGGAGACCAGATATAGTGAATGCAGGGTCCGGGGTTTAGTAACACTTTAAGGTTAGGGCTGGAGTGTTAAAACAGTTAATCTCACCTACACTCCAGCGATGTGATGTCCACCATTTTACTTGCAATGTCTTCACCTGGTTTATTTCAGGTTCTGCATCTTCTTCCTTTTTGGTTAGCATAACTTCAGTGCATGTGCGTGGGAGATAAAGCATGATGGAAAGGGGAGAGGATAAAAGGGAAGCGGGCAAGGGAGAGGATGTAAGGGGGCAGTGTGCAAAGGGGATAGGAAAGGGGCATGATGGGAAGGGCTGAGGAAAGGATAGAAGCAGGCAAGGGACAGAATGTGAGGGGTGAAGAATAGTGGGAATGGGAGAAGAAAGGAGTGGGGAGAGAAGAGAAGCAGGCGAGGGAGAGGACATCTAGTGCTGCTGCTGCATCACAGTTGCTGATCTTATTCCAGCATCCTGGTTTTGGCTGTGATACATTCTCCCTGTCTGTCCACCTACAAGGTGATTGATGAGGCCAGTCTCTGGGTGGAGACCAAACCTGATTTAAGCCAGCCAAGCCTGCAGTCTCATGCTTGTAATAGAGCTGGTTACACGTGCTCAAGCTTTCTGTTTGTCTGTCCTGCTCTGCTGTCTGGATTCCTTTGTTGATGACCTTGGATTGAATATTGACTTTTCTCTGAACTCTGCCCACCTTTTGAATACAGATTGACCCTGACGATTCTGAACCTTGCCTGCCTTGTACCTGGACTGTCATTGAACCACTCTGCCTGTCTGCGAAATGCAAGTACCTGTTTGCTGTGCTCTGGTCGTGCCTGCATGGTGGCCAGAGCACAGCAAACGTGTGTTAGCGTGTATAAGACCTGGGAGCAACCGAATACCAATAGGTCTGCTTGCCTTATAGGAAAAGGGGCTGCTATAGGTGAAGAACACGGAAGCTAGCTATAATGCCTGACCAAATGTGTTGGCAGGGGTGCAGAGGAGTGGGAAGGGGATAGGAAAGGGGCAGGAATAGAGTGAGACGAGAAGACAAGCAGGCAGGGGAGAGGATGTGAGGGGTGCAGAGGAGTGGGAAGTGTAAGAAAAAGGATTGAGGATAGAATAGAAGCGGGCAGGAAAGAGGATGTGAGGGGGTGCAGAGGATTGAGAAGGGGAAAAAAAAGGAGTGAGGAGAGAAGACAAGCGGTCAGAGCAGAGGATGTGGGGGTTGCAGAGGAGTGGGAAGGGGACAGGAAAGGAGTGAGGAGAGAAGACAAGCGGTCAGGGCAGGGGATGTGGGGGTTGCAGAGGAGTGGGAAGGGGACAGGAAAGGAGTGAGGAGAGAAGACAAGCGGTCAGGGGATAGGATGTGGGGGTGAAGAGGATTGAGAAGGGGAAAAAAAAGGAGTGAGGAGAGAAGAAAAGCGGTCAGAGCAGAGGATGTGGGGGTTGCAGAGGAGTGGGAAGGGGACAGGAAAGGAGTGAGGAGAGAAGACAAGCGGTCAGGGCAGGGGATGTGGGGGTTGCAGAGGAGTGGGAAGGGGACAGGAAAGGAGTGAGGAGAGAAGACAAGCGGTCAGGGGATAGGATGTGGGGGTGAAGAGGAGTGAGAGGGGGATAGAAAAGGAGTGAGTAGAGAAGACAAGTGATCAGGGGAGAGGATGTTAGAGGTGCAAAGGAGTGGGAAGGGAATAGGAAAGGAGTGAGGAGAGAAGAGAAATGGGCAGAAGAGAAAATGTGAAGGGTGCAGAGGAGTGGGAAGGGAATAGGAAAGGAGTGAAAAGAGAAGAGAAGTGGGCAGCAGAAAGGATGTGAGGGGTGCAGAGGAGAGGGAAGATGGTGGGGGGAGACTAGGAGTCGAGAGGGATGGGAAAGGGCCTGATGGTAACAGAGAATCCTACCCACCTGCCAAAAAAGAATTTTAACAAGTAGCCTAAAGACCATATATGTGGGGTGCCCGGTTGAATGTTTAGTATTTGTCCTGTTTCATTATGAAGCTGTAACATACTTCACTATCATTAGCAGTGTTGCAATTTGTATTACACATAATCAAAAGATAAATTCACTTTCATTTAAAACCACACTGAAGCTCTGCGGTTTTGTGAAATGCAATACCCACAGGAGGTTAAATGATTTTGGAAGATGAACAACTCGCAGTGATAATCCTATTGCAGGCTGGACACATTGCATTCTTCATTCTTATTTTATGATCCCAGTACACCAAAGCCCTCCCAGGAACCCTCCCCCCCCCCCCCCAAAAAAAAAAAAATACCCACCAAGGGGGCCATTACCTTTAAACCCATCAAGGACTTCCAGCAGGGAGAAGTGCCTGGGATGTGCTTTGCATTAATACAGGAGGATGGTTGGGATGAAAAATGGAGTACCCTCAGCCATCAGTACGTCCAAGCTAATTAAGGGAGATCTTTTAACTTCCACAACTGCAAACACATGTTGAAAATAATAACCCTTCCATTCTCTCCCCCTAACCTTATGGCCGCGTTCACTGCAGCAAGGGTATCAGTTACAGGGCTGAGCTATGGTAAACCATTTCCTCGAGTTCTGTAAACTTGTGTGTCCCAGGCCAAGATGAATTGTCTCTGGGGTCACAGTTTCAGCCTTGATGACAAAGCGATAGGTTTCTGTAGTTTACACGTAAATTGTTGTATAGAATTTCAGCACTCTCACAAGTCGGGTCTGAAGTTCGTGGTTGCTAGAAAGTGACTGTTGTTGCATTTGTTGCTAGTTTCCAAGCAATGTATAAAGTAACATATAAGCAATGTATAAAGTAATGTATAAGCAATGTATAAAGTATTGCTTGGATGTACAGATCTGCACCTGTATGTTGGAATATATGTGGAAAACAAATCTGATCATATTGGTCATTCATAAATATACAGTCAGGTCCATAAATATTGGGACATCGACACAACTCTAACATTTTTGGCTCTATACACCACCACAATGGATTTGAAATGAAACAAACAAGATGTGCTTTAACTGGAGACTGTCAGCTTTAATTTGAGGGTATTTACATCCAAATCAGGTGAACGGTGTAGGAATTACAACAGTTTGCATATGTGCCTCCCACTTGTTAAGGGATCAAAAGTAATGGGACAATTGGCTTCTCAGCTGTTCCATGGCCAGGTGTGTGTTATTCCCTCATTATCCCAATTACAATGAGCAGATAAAAGGTCCAGAGTTCATTTCAAGTGTGCTCCTTGCATTTGGAATCTGTTGCTGTCAACTCTCAAGATGAGATCCAAAGAGCTGTCACTATCAGTGAAGCCATCATTAGGCTGAAAAAACAAAACAAACCCATCAGAGAGATAGCAAAAACATTAGGCGTGGCCAAAACAACTGTTTGGAACATTCTTAAAAAGAAGGAACGCACCGGTGAGCTCGGCAACACCAAAAGACCGGAAGACCACGGAAAACAACTGTGGTGGATGAGCGAAGAATTCTTTCCCTGGTGAAGAAAACACCCTTCACAACAGTTGGCCAGATCAAGAACACTCTCCAGGAGGTAGGTGTATGTGTGTCAAAGTCAACAATCAAGAGAAGACTTCACCAGAGTGAATACAGAGGGTTCACCACAAGATGGAAACCATTGGTGAGCCTCAAAAACAGGAAGGCCAGATTAGAGTTTGCCAAACGACATCTAAAAAAGCCTTCACAGTTCTGGAACAACATCCTATGGACAGATGAGACCAAGATCAACTTGTACCAGAGTGATGGGAAGAGAAAAGTATGGAGAAGGAAAGGAACTGCTCATGATCCTAAGCATACCACCTCATCAGTGAAGCATGGTGGTGGTAGTGTCATGGCGTAGGCATGTATGGCTGCCAATGGAACTGGTTCTCTTGTATTTATTGATGATGTGACTGGTGACAAAAGCAGCAGGATGAATTCAGAAGTGTTTCGGGAATATTATCTGCTCATATTCAGCCAAATGCTTCACAACTCATTGGACGCTTCACAGTGCAGATGGACAATGACCCAAAGCAGACTGCAAAAGCAACCAAAGAGTTTTTTTAAGGGAAAGAAGTGGAATCTTCTGCAATGGCCAAGTCAATCACCTGACCTGAATCTGATTGAGCATGCATTTCACTTGCTGAAGACAAAACTGAAGGGAAAATGCTCCAAGAACAAGCAGGAACTGAAGACAGTTGCAGTAGAGGCCTGGCAGAGCATCACCAGGGATGAAACCCAGCGTCTGGTGATGTCTATGCATTCCACACTTCAGGCTGTAATTGACTGCAAAGGATTTGCAACCAAGTGTTAAAAAGTGAAAGTTTGATTTATGATTATTATTCTGTCCCATTACTTTTGGTCCCTTAACAAGTGGGAGGCACATATGCAAACTGTTGTAATTCCTACACCGTTCACCTGATTTGGATGTAAATACCCTCAAATTATAGCTAACAGTCTGCAGTTAAAGCACATCTTGTTTGTTTCATTTCAAATCCATTGTGGTGGTGTATATAGAGCCAAAAATGTTAGAATTGTGTCAATGTCCCAATATTTATGGACCTGACTGTAAATGCTACCAACCCTGAATGGATGGTACATTGGATTTAGCTGCTAGTTCTTTGCATAAAACTCCAAACTCACACTAAATCTGGCCACTGCACACGTTATGTTGTACATTAAAACGTGTTGTGTTAAGGCAGCCTGGTAATTTTGAATGGGCTGCCAATGCACCGCAACAGACAAAAAAAATTGATGTGCAGCATTTTTTCATATGCAGCACAACAAAAAAGCACAATTGTGGGTTATCATACATTGTGGTAAGCTGCAACGCAGGTGCTTTGGAGTTAAGTAGCCTTGGGGAGCCATGAATGGAAGCACAACATGCTAATGCACATGTTAGCTTTCACATAACCACAATGCACCCAAATGGCTGGGTGCAAATGGACATCAAGGGGGTTGGGAGATTCGCTTTGCAGGGACACTGACACTTTGCCCTGCATGACAATGTCTGTTAAAGGTCCCCATCATGGTAACTGTAACACTACCTGTAGCACTAACCTTTCCTGTAACCATTAACTTATCGTCCCTCTAACC